GCAAGGCCTCTCCCTTTCCCCGCCATCAACTCGACAAGTTAGGGTGGCAACGAGCTGAGCTTTTCACGAGCTGTTCCAGTTCGGATCGGTTCGGTTTCAGCCGAGCTCGAGCTCGAGTTCGAGTCCAATTCAGTGGCTCAATTATTAAACCAGTCGAGTTCGAGCCTACTAGAGCTCGGCTTGTGAGGCTCGCGAGCCGGCTCGAATATATATATATATAAATAAAATAAAATTATAGAAAATAATAAAAATATTATAATTCTTAATTATTATAATTCTTAATTTTTTAAGTATAAAATAAATATATATATATATAATTTTTATTTTTATAATAAAATATTTTTATAAAATATAAAACGAGCCGAGCCGAGCCAAGCTCGAACTTATGAACTCTTGACTCGAGCCGAACTCGAGCTCAAACCTTGTAAAATAGTCTCGAGCCTGACATTATTCGACTCGGCTTGAATCCACCCCTAGGTAGAGTTAGTCAACTTCCTCAACCATAGGGATACTTTAAAAAAAAAATTGCCCTTTTGTTAATTATTTTGAAGTTTTGTTTAAATCACAAAGATATGAAAATTTTGAGAGTATCCCAAATTTATTTAGGGGTGTTGTAACTGAAAATGATAATGAATACCATAATGTTTACCATAATTTTTGGGATATTATGGGAGAGGAAACTTATGAGTTTGTGATTTTTTAAAAAATAAGAAGTTTGTTGAAAGAATTAATTATACTTTTCTTGGGTTCCAAAAGTTAAGAACCCATCTCAAGTGAAGCATTTTCAGTCAATCAGTTTTTGTAATGTTTTGCATAAAATTATAACAAAAACTGTTTGCTAGCAGGTTAAAACCCCTCTTGCATAAATGTGTTTCTCCATATCAATCAGAATTCATTCAAGGTAGATTAATTCAAGATATATAGTGTTGGCCCAAGAGGTATTTCATTACCTCAAAACTAAGAAAATCAAGGGAGATTTTTTGGAAATTAAACTTGACATATCGAAGCTTATGATTCATTAGAATGGGATTACTTGTTTTGGGTTCTAAACTCAATGGGTTTTTCCCAAGAATGGTGTGATTTAATATGAGCCTATATTGCTGTTCCAAAATTTTCAGTTATGATCAATGGTGTTTCTGAAGGTCATTTTTCATTATTTAGAGGTCTAAGATAAGGACATCCTATTTCTCCATACTTGTTTGTTTTGGTTATGAAAGGGTTGATTAAGCTAATTTTGAAGACAAATGAGAAAAATAAATTAATAAGAATTAAAGTGAGTAGAGAAGCTCCTTACATTTCGCACTTGCTATTTGCCGATGATGTTCTTCTATTTGGAAAGGCTACCAGGGAGGAAGCTACAGATATTGTGGATTTACTTAAACAAAGATAGTATTTGGGGGTCCCATTAATAAGGAAAAAAACAAAAACACCATTCTTCAGAATACATTTTAGAAAAAATGAAAGACAAACTTAGGCCCTATTTGGATAGACTTTTATAAAGTACTTTTATACTTTTGAAAGTACAAAAATACAAAAAGTATGATATAGAGTTTGTATTGTATACTTTGTTCTTCTGTTTTTATACTTGTACAAAAATTCTCAAAAGCACCAAGTCCGCTATTTATATTTTGTGCTTTTGGTGAAATAGTAATATTTTTGTTTTTTGTGCAAACGGGTGATCACGTGTAACCACCTTCCAATACAACTCTTGGCCCTACCTCTGTTCGTCGCTACTGGAGTTACACCGCCATCGTCGGTCTCAGCCATCAAACAACCGAAAACCATCACCGGAAGTATGGATGAATGTGCTTTTACCAAACAGGAAATGGTTCTTTTGTTTCAGAAAGCATACTTTACAAAATTTTTTACCCATTTTCAAAGCAAAAAACACCAAAGTAAAACGGTTTTCAAAATGAACAGCACCTTAATAATTGAAAAGTTTCATCTCTATCTTTTGATCTAAAACAGGTTCTAATTAAATCTGTACTCTAAATAGTCCCCTCGTATTGTATGAGTGTTACTAAATTCGCTCAAAAGACAAGGAAATGGTAAAACCTCAAAGAAAATTCTGATGGAATGAGGGAGGAAATAACAAACACATGAAATGGATTGCTTGGAGCAAGTTTTGTTCTCCAAAATCAGAGGGGGTTTAGGTTATACAGCTTTGAACCATATGAAGAAAGCTCTTTTGACTAATGGAAATTTTTGATAGAATCAGAATCTTTGTGGACTAGAGTTTTACAAAATAAATATCTTTATAACAAACAGATGATACCAAGGAAAGCTTCAAGATCTACTTCCCCATTCCCCCTTGTGGAAAACTTTGATGCATGAAATGTTATCTATATTCCCTAGTTTAGGGGTTCAGGTTCAAGACCATTCAAATGCAAGTGTTTGGGATTTCCCATGGATTCAGGAAAAGGATCGGTTTCATGTTCCAATGGGGCCACCTGTTAAAGAGCATAAAGATTTGGTCATTAAGGATTTAGTTTTCTCTGATTTGGAGTCTTGGTATCAGCAATTAGTCCATAATCTTTTCCCTCAAGAGAACACTTAACTTTAAATATGCATATTTTCCATTGAGATAAGGATCAATTTCTTTGGACACCCTCCTCTAATGGTAAATTTTCAATTAAGAAGTTTACCGAGTCGAAATGGCAAGAAAGTCATTTACCATTGGGTAATAGCGATCGGGTATGGCTCAGAAGCATGGTTTTTTAAAAACGAACCGGTGACCGAACCGGTCAGGGGGTCCGGTTATCGGTTCAAATGGCCCGATCGTTCGACCCGAACGGTCGGCCCGTTCTAACAAAAAAATAAAAAATTTAAAAAATTGGAAAATGATCAAAACAGTTCGAATGGTTTACTGACCAAAATCAACGGTTTTGGAGGAAAAAGCGGTTTTGGAGGAAAACGGAACCGGTCAGGTGACTGGTTCCTAGTTTTTTCGGTTCGACCGTCCGTCCGGTCCAATTTTGAAAACAGTGCTCAGAAGGATTTGAAAATTAAGGATACCCCCTAGGTTTAAGTTGTTCTTGTGAAGGCTTTATAGAGGTTTTATTTTGCATCATTCGGGGATATGTTACCAAGACAAGCCTTTTGTGTGTAAGGGTCATGTGTCAATCCATTCAATGGCTCCACTAAGGTCAGCGGCGCTGAATCATGACCTCATATGCACATGGTCTGGGTTCATGTGTGGCTCTTTCCAGTTTGTGGGAGGCACTACTTACGTGCCAAAGGGGGATTGCGCCAATGAACATACTCGTGTGCTGGAACAATGGATGGCTCATTCAGCATAGAAACGGGACTGGCAAGATATAGGGGCATGCTTAGGCTAGACTTACGTGCAAAACCTCCCCTTCATGTGCGGGATTGGCGAGATATAAGGGCATGCTTAAGCTAGACCCACGTGCAAAGCCTCCTCCTTATGTGCGAGACTAGTAAGATATAGGGGCATGCTTAGGCTAGACCCACGTGCAAAGCCTCCCCTTCATGTGCGTTGTGCAATGCCGATTCATTCTCTATCCCCATGAGCAATTGTATGCCCATGAGGAACCCTAATAGCCATGCTAGCATTAACCAAGGCCGCTGCAAGAAATGTTGATTTTGATTAGGCATCTCGGAGGTCAATCACCCCTCTTCAAAGAGAATGTTAAACTTTTGGAAGTCTCTGTAATATCATTTTTCTAAAAAATCATAATGACGGAATTGGCAATAAAACCACTCAACAAAGCCCACCAAGCATAAATAGATTAAGCCTATGACAAACCACGACAAGGTGGTATTCAAATCCTTGCCATTTGGGAACCTTGGACCAATGTCTTTTGTTCCCGAGGTAACATGTTCAATGATCTCAAGGTGATCTCATTGGAATAAACGATGAGGCTGATGAAGACAAATTGGGATCCGCTCCTCATCGAGCATGCCTCACACCGACCTCACAGCCACATCCCACCTTGTATTGGGAACATCTCCCCATAAATAATAAATATAAGTATGAGAGATGTTTCCGATGTGCAGCCAAGACATGCTGTGAGGTTGGTGTGAGACACTCTGTGAGGAGCAGATCCGGACTCGATGAGGACGAGAAGATTTCCCGAACGGAGGTTTGGATGTGCTTGTGTCGTAGATTAGCGCCACCAACCAAATTTAATAGGTGAACAGTTCTGGTTGTATCAATACTTCTTCGGGTTGGTCTCTTCAAATCATGGTTTTTAAAGCCGGACTGGATGGTTAGACCGAAAAGACCAGGAACCGGTCAGGTGACCGGTTCTGTTTTATCCCAAAACCATTAATTTTCCCAAAAATGTTGATTTGGTCAGCAAACCACTGACCTTGGCGTTCAAACCGTTCAGCGGTTTTGACCATTTTTTATTTTTTTAATTTTTTGTCAAAACAGGCCATTCGTTCGATTTGAATGGTCAGACCGTTCAACCCAGGAACCAAACCCCTGATCGGTTCATTGTCCGATTCAGTTTTAAAAACCTTGCTTCAAATGTTCACAAAATCCCTACCCAAGTCCACCCCTAACTTGGAAGTTTATTTCCACTTTCTGTCCAAGTTCCTACAAACTACGATTAGGCATTCTTTTATGACCTATACATTTTTGAATTTGATAAATTTTTTGAACCTATTATCCACATAATTGCTTTATAACATCTACAAATTCAATTAATGAAGCGGTACCATTTTGACCCTATGCCTTCTGGTTTTAACATAAAAACTGAAACATCGAAACCTTGTCTCAGTTTTAACACACTAGAGTTCCTTAGAGAACTGTACGCCCAAAATTAGCGCCAACCCCACCCCCCCCGCCAACCACCACCACCAAAAATAAATAAATAAATAACAATAATGATCTTTGGCGTATTTTGTTCTTCTGAATCTGAATCAGAATGAGAGTATTCACTTTGTATAAAACATTCGTCCAAGTGCATTTTTTATTTTTTTTTTCCTAATGTAACATTACGTAAAAGCAAGAAAAAGCAAAATTTTTGGAGAACATGAACACCCCCATAACATTGGCCAACCAATGGGATTCGATTTTTACACGAACAAAGAACATGACTGCAATACACTCTACAATATAAATACAACATTCATGTACAGACTACAGCGATGTTTTCATTGTTCTTCGTTCTTCTAACAGTAAAACATCACCCTTTTCACCTTTTCCTTCAAGGCAGGTAGAGGACGAACACATGATCCATTCTGGGTGCCTCTTGTCATAGCGTTGTCAGACACCTCCGGTTCCATGTAAAATCTAGCTCGAAATGCAGCCAGATGGGCATAATAAGCAGGAGGCACTATTCACATAATCAATGTATAAATGTTAGGAAGACATCCATCCAAGTATCAACAAATATTAAACTTGTACGAGTTCAGTTGAAACACAGTCAAATTTGCACGACAAGGATTTTCTAAAAGAGGAAAAGGAATCAAATTTCAGCTCAGATTGTGTTACAGTTAGAAATTAAGAAATAGACAATGAGCTCCTCGTTGACAGAATTATTGAATGAGTCGGGCCATGTGGAGATAGAAACGCTTACCCACTGAAACAGACCTGGTGCACCGTGCATATCTGCAAAGAAAATTCAACGGCATTAGGTATTACAGTTGCACGATTTTCAAGATCCCATAAAGAGTAAAGACTTACGTATAACAGAGATTGTTGGTAAGAGATTGTATCTCATCTGCTGTGAAATTGTTCTCATCCCAGAGAACATGATAGTGAGCTGGTCGGCTTGTACCCTGCCAAATACCAAATTCAAAGCAATTAAATGTTTCTACAAGCTTGGATTGTGCAAAATCCCTTTCAGAAAACGCCACTCAGTTGGACTATCAACAGATTTTTAAAACCCTCTAGGTTAATTTTAAGTATTGAAATCCTATTGGTATTCAAAATACTCTAATACCTGGATCCCAGCATGACTGCAGAGGTAGAAGTCAAACTCAGTAGGGTGACATATTTTAGAATCCACCACAGTGCCTGTGCAGTGAACCTCAGAACTGAATAACAATCTGAAAATTTCAACAAGTTACAGGAAAAAAGACCAACTGTTAAAAGCACATAACAATTACCAGGTAGGATATTTCCACTCTTGTCAATGCTACTTCTATCCTTGTGGTTGTTTGCAAACAGCCTTGTGTGATGGCGTTTTTGGACCACCACAAATGTTACTGGAGGCTGGTAATTTGGTTCTAATGATGCACAAGCCTACAGAAAGTGTAAACATAAGAGCTAGGAAGCTAATATACCAATTATCGTCATGACAGAGGTTAGATTACAACTTACCTTACGGATAGCATCTAACTCATATAACAGGACCTGATAGAACTGCCCTTCACTGACACCATCTCTGCAAGTAATACAGAAAAATGATAAAGGATTAAGAAAAAAAATACAGGATTTCTGAAACCTAGCATTTCCTCAAGTAAGCTTAATCTTGAATGATGTAAAAGGTCACTTTTTTGGCACAAGAATTTAAGAAGGGGAGGAGGGGAGTCTATGAGTGCAACACACTAAATTACCTGTAAAATATTATCCTCAATGGTTTTTGCCCAGTTGCCTTCCTGAAGGAAATTAAAAGCTCCCTGTAGTAGTAAATGGTCACATTGGTTAAAAAAGATTAAGTACAAAATAAATAATCAATTGGGGCTCCTTGCTGACCCATTCAAAGGAATAGTACCAAATTGGTGAATATTAGTTGTTACACCTATCAAGTTCTTATGAAAACAATCCTCAAAATTCAGGCTGTCCTTGGATACATGGAAACATAGATAGCAGTAGTTAAGCAAAATTTATGCAAGCCTGTAGTTGGTAAACTTTGTACCAACTTGACATGGGTTCCTTTCCAACACCATTCAAAGTGGACCATAGAACAAAAGCAAGAGTAACAAATGGTTGCCTTCCATGCAAGTTTATACTAAGAATTAGTATTGGTAGCTTCAGTTGATTTGCAAAGATATTTATCTTGTTTACTTAAGTTATTGAGGCCCAAACCATAAGAAAGATATATAAAAGATAATATTTCAGCATCTAAGATTGGACAGAATCTGAACCTCATGACTCCAGTCAATACATACATAAAATTGCTTCGCTTAAGAGAGAGAGAGAGAGAGAGAGAAAGAGAATAATAAATAATCAAGCATTTCCATAGTTGTCATAATAAGAAAATAATCGATCAAGTAAAAATACACCTTCAAGTACATGAAAAGCAATTGCTAAAATGCAGGGGTCAGTGGACGTATTGCAACCACTTGGGCTGGTTATACCAACAACAGCATTAGTAATTTTCAACAAGCTCACTCTACTATWAAACATCATTATAAAGAGAACCCACAAAACACAAGTAAGAATTAACAATTACTAATATGAACCATGCCAGTGTCTTATTTACCATGTAACTTTCTGCTAGGGCTTTTTATTTCACTTAATCAGCAATAATGCTTTGCTTAATTATTTACTTAATTTAAATTTTTTGGGGGGAAAATGAGATAGCATTAGCATCCACAACATCATGGCTACAGAAACTTAAATAATTCAGTATGAAATGGCAAAAACAAAGAATGGTGATAATGAGTAGGGTGATGGCAATAGCATGTTGTACCCCCAGTTGTTAGACATGAACTGGAAAACAAGAAAAATACAAAATCAAATTCCACAATGCCATCACAATGATTAAGCAGAAAATTATATAAATATACACCTGATCATGCCTCCAGTGACTGTACCCCACTGAGGATCATGCCAAGTTTTGAATAAGTCTTGAATAAGCTCTTGTCGATGAGCCTGAGCACAAACTAGCCCAGCATATTTTGTAACCTCAGGCCAGTCTTGCGAAGCTACCACCTGTATTAGTAAATCATCAGAAAAGAAGTTAAAATGAATTAAATTGTACTGTTGTACAACTCAAGTAATACATCAAGTTGGACCATTACAGCAGCAATTGATGGAGTAGAGTCCTCTCCAGTCTCTGGATGAGTTACATCAGCGCCAAATATAATTGTGGGGATGTCACTGACCAATGGAATTCTCCAACTCAGAGCATCTAAAAGCACAGTATTTCTTCCTCCCATCTGCAGAGGCAAGAGGAAAAGATAAGGAAAGAAAGAACAAAAATGAAAAATATGTATGGAAAGAGAATAAGTTAATGTTTCAGCTATCTTGCTCTAGCCTTTTCAAGTTGAATAAAGATAACTTAACATTTACTGCTTACCTTAACATTGATTTTAAGCGACAAATTTGCCAGGTACTGTTTGCTAATCTTAAAAACATGTTTTGTTAGACAGCATTGGGATATCAACCCCAAATCTGTCTCACAAATTCTCTTTAAGTCACCTGAACAAAGAAAATATTGCTTCAGTAAAAATGGTAGGTTGGTTTTACTTTTATCACATCATGTTCTAGGTTTTTAGGATAAAATAAATAAAAAAGATAAGAAATTCAAAAGTACCAGATATGTGGCAAAGAACAGCCTAATGAACATGTTCAGACACTTGTACCACAGGTATCTAGCACAAAGCTGCTTTCTGTCAACAAATAAATAGGACTAACAACATACCATATAGAGAACCATTGTTGTCTGGGAGAACAGCAATAAGGAGCTCCAAATCTTTCCCTTTAAGTTTGTTTGCTGCCGCATTGTATACATATTTCAAGGCCTTGTCTACTTGATCAGACCTTGCTGAATAGATTGGAATCACAGGTTCACGGTTGAATTCCTATAACAAGATAAACAAAATATAAGGTTCTAATTGAAATGTCCATGAAATCAAGTTCTCACAGGAACCTTATATTAAACAATTGTTCTATAAAACACCCACATCATGATAAAATACAAAGGGCATCAACACCCAAAGATCAGTGAATCATGAAATCTTACCATGCCAGAGATTTGGCACATCTGTGCCAGTTCCTGACAAAATGTACGAACGGTGCTTTCTTGAACACTTCTTGAAAAGTTGATACAAGCCCAATGATTTACAGTGCTTCCATTTATCATTTTCTGCATTAGCATAACCAAGAGTTACTTTCCAGTAGTTAGGGGGAAATCTTCAATTCTACATTTTGACAGAGGCAGCATAACTTGGGCATAAAGTACCTTGTTCATCATATTCCACTGACCAACCTGAGGTAAACAATCTTTTTCTTTTCCAGTATCATGGTATTTCAGCTGTCATACAACAAATGACATGAATAAGGTGCAGGAAGTTCATAATAGCTTGCTCACTAACAAAAGAAAATAATCCAAGAAATCAACTGGGCTTTGACTGGTCCATTGGCATGTTACCCATGGGGCAGGAAGAACTCGAGCTTCAACAGATGCAAGCTTGTCARTGATACTGATACCAAACTCCTTTGCATAGGGATTTTGCTCATATCCATTTTGGTGGACAGTCTGAAAATAAACAAAACATAATATAAATAAGAAAATACAATGGTATTAATATGAGTCTAATCCAAATATTAACCCCATTAAGTTTTATGATATCCAAGATCGGAGTCAAGGTGCATTTTTATATATAAAAATAAAAGAAACTTATAATTGCTTTTCTTTTATGTTCAGCATTGCAGATGGCTGTTACGGACTATCCTAGATTTGGGTTACCTAACTGAATAATTGTATTCTAGAAATCCTGTATGAACTTTTTTATCATACAGATTCTTCAACTCTTCTAATAACCGTTCAAATAATAATCACCCACCAGAGGAGGGTATATAATAAAGAAATCGTGTTAATCATTTCCAAGCAGACATCTAACTTGGGATAAATTGGACAATGATTCCTCACCAATGATATATATATATATATAAAGGAATCATGAGTCCAATGAATGATTGAATGCGCACAATGAACTCTCATATCAAAAGAAGTTTCATTCTAAGCATTGAGATATTTATACCTGCAAAATGTCCATTTCCTGCTCCCGTGGTCTCTGGCATGTAACCTTTAGCAAGGAAGTTATCTGCTTGTCATTCAACCTCTTGGTGTATCTCTGTCCTTCAACTATCTTGCAGGCCTGCAAATATCATGTACAAATACAAACATTTGATAAATGAAAACAAGATTTACTGAATACAATATATGCTGTAGGCATATTTAATCAAAAAAGAGAGAGATGCTGAAGACATAGAATCGACCTCCATTGGTAAATAGTTTGCCTTTCTCTGATTTCCAACTTGAAGGCAAGGAAGATGGGTATGTTGAATGGTAAACCCATACATCTCTTGAAAGTAATCAACAACTGATTTCATGTTCATTTGTTCATCAACTGGAAAACTGTTTGATGAAGAAGACAAATATTTCAGTGTTGGATAAAGCAGGAAAAAGTGAACCATAAAGAATCATTCAGAGATATCCGGTACATTAGTTCTCTTGTAGGTTGTGATGTCAACCCTGAAACACGGTACTTTCTTCGTACATTTCCTCTGTGAGTAACTTCAACTTTGACTCCTCTAAGGGCCTTCTTGACCTGCTCAAAATAAATAATGTTTTAACTGGGTTTGAATGAGTTGCAAGTTGAAACATAACTTGGACCACCGGTATAATGAAATCTTACAGTATCAACAAGTATATGCTGCAGTGACATTACTTAAGCAAATACAGCAGAAGAGCTCCCATTTGTACAAAATGTAGGAATTCAACAATCTACCATGTTTACCTCTAGCTCTCCAAGATCATTTCTAACATCAGCTAATAAGCACAGGAATAAGGAATATGCAAACATTTTTAATGTCATTTTGTCCTCACTTGGACAATAACTAGTTGATTCATTACAACATTAATTGTCCATATGCACATGAACATTCAAAGGCTAGATGCTAGATGTTTATGTTTTAGGACCTGAAAAGTGAGATCTAAGTTTTCCTATAATGATTGTGTGCAGTGCTTCCTTATTTATAGGACACGAGTAAATTTAGTCAATCAAAAGTTACAAGGAAAAAAGAATGGAATCACATATGCCAATTCCAGGTAATATATATATAATTTTAAGTCATAAAACAAACAAAATGCAAGTTGCACAAAACACATAAACATATAATGAGAAACCCAGTGTGTTTAAAAGTGTACATTTCAATGCTCAACTTTGAGGATTATGCCTGAAAGTATAAGATACATTACTCACACCTTGAGGTGCCTTGGTGTGCATCTAAAGGTCTTTGGCACCTAAAGAGTATAACACACATTCCTTGAATTAATTTGGTTTTTTTCTTAAAAAACAGTAATCTATGCCTCATGCATCTAAAGGTCTTTGGTACCTCACCTCACATCTCTGCATTTTTAAACATTGGATAAATTATTAGTGAGAATGGAGCCTGAAAAGTGTTTAGGAGTTCTAAACAGTCCATATGCTAAATAATGAAGTATTGACCTGAATGAACAAATGAAGAAACAATTTAAAAAAAAATTAATCCAAGCACTATGATGAAGTTTCCTTTGAATTTCTTATGCCTCCATCATAAGAAATCATTTAAGGCATGGAATGTTAGCTACAGGAGGACAAAGAATCATTCCATGAAGCATTTTCCTTGAGCTTTACCTCAAATCGCAATCCCAACCAAGACTTCTTCTACAAGAATGCACATGCATGCCTCATAGACTAAATGGATGTTCACCATCCAATCTAACTAAAGACTTTTAAAACGCCAAGAGGACATAGTTTTGGGGTTTTCTCAGTTGACTGATCAAGATTAATCAATCAGTCATACTGGGCATCTTAGCTGAATGCAACAGTTAAATTTCCAGGTTATAACCCAACCCTATAATGGTTCACATGAATAAAGACCGAAGGATATTTTCTCAAGCACTTTAAACAATAATTTTGGCATCTCAACTATATAAAGATAGGTTGCAAGTTGCAACAGCCCCTCAAATACCATAACAAACCACAAAAGAAGCAATACCAAATAAATTGAAATTGTGCCCAAAATATCATGTAATAATAGAGAATATAAATCATAATTATCACACAACACATTTACATACCTTAATTCGTTCTGCATCAGACAATGGCCTGGACAATACATCTTTGCCCAAAACTTGTGCAACAAACTCAATCACGGGGAGTGGTTCAATGAAAGCAGTCGATGACATGTCTGAACAGTAATATACAAATAAAACTTGGTCACTGTAATGAAAAGAAAATATATAGATCAATAAGACATCAAACCAAGAGAACAAGAAGAAAAGGAAAAGTACAAGATTAAATACCAATATTCAGAGTCAGTCCCATCTGTGTTGGTTTAATACTCTGGTAAAAGCCACACCAAGATTGCAGCCCATTGCCTAGACGTTGTGGTTTTCTAATATCAGGAGAGTAAAAGGATCTCCCAATTGATATGTACCTAAACCCGTATTGGCATTAGAAAGTAGCAAGATGTAACTGCTATTACAAGAGGCTTACTAGTAAACTAAGAAATGGAGGGAAAGAATGAAAAGTTTGAATAGACCTTTGGTTGGAGATTTCCCTTAACACGATATCAAGAATCTGGAGAGAATCTTGAGGAGAATTGGCTTGTTTTCCAGCAAGAAACTGACGTAAATGGTGAAGGTCTGCACGAGCTACAAATTTGATTGCCACCTTAAATTCTCTTTCCCTGATACAAGTATTTAAGAATATACAGGGAAAAAACCATTCATGGAATTTCAAATGAGTTTTAATAAAGCAACCCAACATGAAAAAAAAATGTCGACGACAGGTAAGCAAACATAGAGCAAGAAAACTAAATAAACTAACCTTGTAATTCCCAGCACATCATCTTCATCCACCAAAGTCACACTGAACTCTTTGGAAGTAAAAGGCAGCAACCCGGCAGTGTAAAGGCTTTTCCGTCCATCATATGCAGGTAGCCTCATGCCCAAATCAGTCTCTCTGTATAGCTTCACCAACTGTGCCATGATAGCTCTGTTTAAGCGACGGGAAACCACTTCAGGAGTTATTGTAACCTGGAAAAAGAAAAAGAAAATGACAAAAGTTAAACACAATCAACTCTTGGACAAAATAATGAATTCTTTATATATCTAGGCGCATTCATCTGCATATGCTTTGATTTAACTGCCTAAAAGTTTCATAAGCACAACAATAAAATCAAGCTTACATCGTATTGATTCAAGTCCTTGTCTGGTAGCTCGGCCACGAAATGGTTGGCTTTAACTATGTATTTGGTACCAGCTTGACCATAGCCAGGTCGGCGTTGAAACATGAGACCTTTGCTTGAAACTGGCGGTTCCACTTCATGATCAAGGTCAACTTGCTTCAATCTTCTCTCCGCTTGGGCATCTTTCCCTTTCCCTCTTCCCCTTCTCCTACCTATATTCTTCTTTGGCTCTTGCAAGCAAATTGCACAGTCCTTCAACATCTCGGGTGAGGACTTTGGTTGATTCATGGAGTTCTGTAGAGGTTTCCTAGAAACCACATGTTTCTCATGGGGGTCTTTCATCTGACCAGGAGGCATTTCAGAAAGACAACAACAGGAAAAATTGTGGAAGCTCTTCTACGCGTTGGCTGGTTTCATTTCTCCTCAACTGGATTGCTGTATCTGTAGTTCAGAGACATTTGAAGGTTTATGGTACTATAATTATAGTCGAAACAGTACCAACATGCGTTGGTATTGAATTAAATCTTTTATAAACCTCAAAATCTATACCTTCACTGAATGCCATTAATAATTAGTTGATGCCAGATTGCCATCACAGAAACAATAAAGATGAACCAACAAAAAAAGTCTACACAGACATACAAGACACAGGGGGGCAAGTGTACATGACAGAAAATAGCTAAAACTCTGGCTTTTATAGGCGCCTACATGACATTTTTCACGTTTTCTCTGAGTATACTAGAGAATATCAGGTTATTTGGAGAAATAAAATGCAGGAAAAAGCAGCTGGTAACGGCTGCAAGAGGAAGGAAAGCGTGAACCCACGACAGTTTTACTGTGCTCAAAGTTTGTAATAGTCTGTTTACCAAAAAAAAGTTGTAATAGTCTGAAAAGGATAAAAAAGAGAGCATGCAAACATGCAAAAAGAAATGCAGCAACCTTATTCATGGATTTAAAAAAAAAAAAAAAAAAGTGGAACAAGAAAAAGGAAAGTTAAAAAGTAAAACATGGATTTTACTTTATTGATTTTCTTTAGTTGTTTATCCCTTCGAAGAAAAAAGTAATTATTATATTATTTACAGAAATAATACAATATTAATTAATTTTCTTACCACCGAATGAAACGAAAGGAGACATGCAGTTGGTACATGTTTTCTAAGGACATTTGTGATATTAAGAAGTAAGAAGCACTTCATTTAAAATTAACAAAGTGAACACCAGAGCATACATTCCCAGTAAGATCAGTTAAGAGGGAAATAATAACACGCCACATGTCTTGACCTTGTTCGAGATCTCTAACCAATCAAATTAAACATAAAAATACAAGAAAATGTAAAAAAAAAAAAAAACAACATTTCCACGTAGTGATTATCTACCAAAAAAATGTTCCATATATAGTGATTTGATTGACAAACATCATATACCTCTCTGTTCTGAATATTTTAGTTCATGTACATATGATTCAAGAGCTTGTTTCTTGTTGTATTGTATACCTCTATTTATCAAGTTGAGGGTTTAGACTGGAAAGGTGTAATTGAAATGTCCTTATCCAATGTACTATTAACCCCAACAAGCCAACAACTTAGAATTATAAGAGGAAGGACAAGTGTATCCTACATGGGGATGACATTTTTTTTCGATTGTCTACATGGGATGACATTGATGATGACCTCAGATAAACTACCCAAAGCAGGTCGTGTGAGAATGTGAGTAATGAGATTGAAGATCTTCTAGCTATGTTTCATTATTATGGTGAACATACTCCAATGCTTATTTGCCTTCATAAGTAAACCAAAAACTTATTCATCAAAATATAAATAAATGAACCAAAAGCTTTAGTGAATGCCGCAAATTTCAACGGCCAATAAACAGGAAACAGTCTGGTTGTAAAGCATGTGGGCAAATAGCTGGGAATGGTGGGTTCAAATTTTAAAATCACTGAACCATGCAGCATATTAGGTTTCCAAGCTCTGACTCATTAAAGACAAAAAATTGGTTTGGCAGCATTTAGTAGTATTGGGTCAAGATCCCAGACCATAGGTCTCCTTGCTCTCTAATAACCGGACACAATGCATGACTAGCCTTCCTTTCCCTGATAAAGATGTCCAGTCATACTCCAGCAGTCTTTTTCCAAAGCAAGGGTGGAGATAGGAGACGTGGAGTGTGAACCGATGAAACTTGGAAGAGTGCGTTGGTGGTCCAGCTGATAAAAGAAAACAAAAAATGGTCCCGCTCCCTCGTGCACCGCAAATCCAGAAGCCGTCTCCAGGGTCCAGGCTAGTCCTGTTCGGCCAAGCCGGACTGCTTCAGATGCCCTCATCTTATACGTGACATTTTGTAAAGGATCCACGTGTTGATCAAGTTCCAGGATTTCTCCACGAAGACAGCTTCAGACTTAAGCGCCTAGAAGCCTCAGAATACGTGGTAAAAGAAACAGGTCATTTTATCTCTTCTGCACCGGGGGATAATAACATGGACTTGGGCACTACAAACTCGAACCCGTGGCCCATGCAGCCACACTAATCGAAGTCATACACTCGTACTCTAACGGTGCACTCGAACTCTCGAAGAATAATTCACCGGTTCACCCTCAAAAGGACCACTTACAAGACTAGGGTTACATCTCTCTAACATAGATTCATAATTCTCCGATTCTCCTAAAGCAATGATTTACAGTAAAGAAAGTTAAATCTCTAACACGACTCTCACGCGAAATTCCATTGGGTTAACAAAGATCAACCTAAAACTTAAGCGGTTAAATGAGATCCATAACTAGATTTATATTCTTTAACAATTAATAACATATAAACGTATAGAAGCATCTTATTTTAATGCAAAATAATACGATTTATAAGGTTAAGCCACCAAAGTTATTATTGGTCATTCTAAAGCCGGTTTTCTGATCTTTCTGCAAGAGAGAGGTAATACCTGACTCTTGATTTAGGATATTCAAAAGAAAATCCACCTAATGCCTGGGATATTTTGGTATGGAAGAAGCACAATATCGTTCTCAGTTTTTCACTGAACTAATGACATGCGCTAGAAGCCTTTTTACAAGAAGAAGCCAAACATGGACAAATAGGAAAAGGCCAGACGCACGCCCTCCTGCTCAAAACCACCTCTCTAACAAGGAATCACGTGGAGGCAATAAATGCAAAGGAGAATATACGCAGTTTTCTGAGGAAGAAAATATGGTTGGGAGTACTACCACAAATATGGCTGGAGGAAACGCCAAATACTAGAAAGTGGAAATTAGAGATAGCAATCATGAGAGAGAGACGGAGCAAAGGCAGATGGACTTCTGAGAACGCCGACGCACGCTGAAAACTACAGTTATGACTTGCGGAGAAGAAGTCTGAAACAAACCTTTTGCTTTACGCTTTCTTTGGCGCCGCTGTGTATTTAACGCAAACTTTCTCCCTGCTTCCGCTGCTGAAAAAGAGTCACTCCTTTAATGTCCTCTCCCTCTTGCATTAACTATTATTAACTGAAACTCCGGCTTGCCTACCAGCAAAGTCTGCAAGAATAGCAAATAATAAAGAGATCTCCTAAATATTTATGAAAATGTCGGCACTTCTAGAAGTCTACAACTACTGATCTGAGCTCGGGTGTCTGTCATATCTTCAGTACTACTAAAAACAGATAATGCTTCGACGTGGAGCTTTTTCAAGGACTCAGTGGGCGAAGGATGCAGATCAAGACGAGATCTGGAGATCCAAGTTTTCTTGAATGGGAGGAAGAAGCCGTGAAGCTCTAACGATTCAAGCAAATAAAACAAATTGTGCGTGTCACAGGGAAGAGATTCGATGATATGTTGAGGATCTGAAGATAAAGCAAGTTTCCAAATGGCTATAAAATTAATAATCCTCTGGTTTAAACTTCAAAACGTAAAATGAAACGATGAATCAACTTCATACATTCGAACCAGATCGATCAAACGGGAAAAGGAAACAGAAAAATATTTTGCACCTTAAATCACGAAATTCTACCAAAAATAGAAATAAATTGAAGCCTTACAGATCTAGACATCTAGTTGAAAAACCTAGAGACAAAAGGCTTTTGAGAGAGCTAGGAAACTCCAAGGTAGTCCGAAAGCTGGAAGAACAAGCGTTACCAGATAAGCTCGTTAAAAACAGACGAAGAAATACTTCAAAAATCACAAAATGAGAAAAGAACCTCCAACAATACAAAAGATATTAACTGAAATTGATCGTTTCGAATAAGAGAAACAAGAACATGCTGTTCAAACAAAACAATAGGATCGACTAGCTAGCTACTCACCTCCAAGACGAGCGAGAAGTGCCTCGAATCCTTACGTAGTAGACAAATTCACAAAACACAGGAAACTTCAGGGATCGAACTTGAGATCGGCTAAAATCTAGAACTTAGAAACAAGCATGCAAGCAAGCAAGCAAGAAAGAGAATGTCTGGAAACAAAGCACGAGAATCAGGGAAGCGTGAAGCCCTATAAGGAATTTCGGGAGTAGCGAGCGGTTGATAATGCTTCACTTCCGCTGTTTATTCTAATGTTATTTTTTCCATCTAGAAACACCTAATTAACTAAACTAAACTAAACAACGGCTGTAGAGCAACGAGGAGAAAGCTTTAAATGTTGTTAAACATCCGTGCATTGAGTAACCATTACTTTTTGCTACTGAGCTCGCAGAGAATAAATTAAATAAAAAATAAGCAAAATAAACAATTGTTTCAGAAGCCTCAGATTCCATATGCAGCTCTGTCTCTAAACGCTTTCAGTACGCTTCCCCGCACTTTCGTTCTTATCCTGCCTTCTAACGCACAATGTTGCAGTGAGATGGTGAGATTGAGAGAGAAAGAGCGGGCAGTGTGTTAGTGTGTTAGGTTTCCGGCGTGAATTTGATCGGAATTGTAGAGGCCGGCCGGGAAGCGCGGCGAGAAAGAGATGAAGATGGAGAGAGAGAGAGAGAGCAGAGAATGGATGAGATCATGAGAATTGAGAGGGGTGAAGTCGGTTGCGAACGCTAATCGGCCTTGAAAAAGGAGTGGAATGCTGGGAGGCACGCACTGCTATCGAGGCTTTTATATGCTCGGTTGACGTCGACGTCATTTTAAGAAAAGGGTAAAATACAAAAACTCCCTAATTTTCCGACAATTATAAAATCTCTTTTATAGTTTTACTCTAACAAAAACCTCTTTAAACTTTTAATAAATTGACAAAAACCTCCCTTCCGTCATTAACATGCAAAATTTTTCCAAATACCCGTTTTACCCTTTTTGTAAAATGGGTACTGAAATAACTACTAGTGAAGAACGGATTACCCGAGGGTGCTGCCTTCAAGGCTAAGATGGAAGAGAATGTCAGATATGAGGAGAGAGGGAGAGAAGCTGTGGAGATGAAGTTGACACGACAAGAGAGAGAAGATCATAATGGTTCCAACCAGTGTACAAAAGCCTTACTGCCTTCCTTGTTTTCCCTTTGATGTCTTGTTGAACTCAGCTCCATACTTTGCGATAGGAATAAAAACAGTGCCCCATCCTCCCACCCTGTGCTCATGCTTTGGTAACTTCGATAACACCAATAATTCAAACTCTCCTCCCCAGAAATCAGATTTTTCAATGCGTTGGCAGTATCGTTTCAAAGATTCATCTACAGTAATTGCAACCATTGCCTCTTTATAATGACTCCGTTCTTTATCACCATAACATATGACCACTTTCACAGTCATCCGCAATTCATCTTTTCCCGAAGAGTAATGCGTTGATAGCGATTCCTTTCACCAATGCTCAAAACAAACAATAGTCATCCCCAGTAACTTTCTAAATAGAGAAATGTTCCAACTTCTTCAATTATGGTGAAATTCCACCCAGAGACGATCCTATTCTAGCAAAGAACTGATCACACCACCACCGAGAAACGGCGACGAATATCTAGGACATATCATACTAGAAATCGGAGTAACCGGCGAAGAGGCGAGCTCGAATTCAGCRACTCCTTGTTTCCGCTACTACAAATAACCTCGTTCGAAGGCTTACCTGCCATAATGGTGAGAACACTTGGGGAACTGAAGAAAGCGATTGTTGATGTTGTTAGGGAGAGGGAGCAGATTGAACGGGCCATGATTGATCGAGACCGTGAGATTGTTTCATTGAAGAAACCTTTAGAGGCCCTTGTTGTAGAATTTGGAACTCACGTAAATCCATCATTAATCCAATTAATCCAACCATAGAAGGCAAAAAAGATTGGCATCAATATCTTTCCTATTCAACCAAATTAAATAAATAAGTAGAATTGTATGATAAGGATGGATTCCCCACTTAGATTAGAGCAGGCCTAGTCCCATCAAAGCACAGATTTGATGGGACTGGAACATTTTTGGAAAGTTAAAAGCAGTGAGACCATTAGTTAAGCGGCAGCAAGGGTCGAGCTGAAAGAGACAAGGATTGATGACGGGGAAGGGGGGGATTCGGTTAACTGTAGGTTGGGGTGAAAGCACCGAGAAYGCCGAACAAGATGAACTTTTTACCGACAGCAAGGGAGTGAATGGAGGAGATCTTTTGGAGGTGTCATTCTCGTCAAAGTAACCAAAAGTGCCTTGAGAATAACGTCACCGATTGAGATGGGAGCCATTACTGATTGCTCTACTTTTTACTCATACCTTCCCTTACCGAGACAAGAGGAGACGAGAGAGCAGAGTTCAGCATAGGTGGTAAATAACGTTCACGAGTTAGTTATTTCAGTAGTACCCATTTTACAAAAGGGGTAAAACGGGTATTTGAAAAAGTTCTATGCATAGGTTAAACGTTTTCCGTTTGGGTCAATGATAAAAGAGAGGTTTTTCCCAAATTTTTAAAAGTTAAGGAGAGGTTTTTGTTAAAGTAAAATGATAAAGGAGGTTTTTATGGTTGTCACAAACATCAAGGAAGGTTTTTTTATTATCAACAAAAGAAGGTTTTTTATGTTTTTATCCTACGAAAAAAGTAAGATTGAAAAATTACGTTACAGCTTTTTTGTCTCTATTTTTCGATTTCTTCATGGCTGGAGTTTGTACTGGAAATGTACAGGGTGCATACTATTCTACATTATTACAGTGGAATAGAGTCTGAAATATTCAATCTCAATCACGCAAGATGAAACTTTGTGGTTCCCACCTTAAAATTCTTAACCATTGGATTTTATTCTTCTTGGATCATTCATAAATAATAATCCCTGAAATAATTTGCATATTGGCATACTGTGTATCTAATGATGCTTTTTTAACATTTGGGCAGCGTTACATTGGTTCGGTTTTCTCAGCTTTTAAATAGAGTATAAATAAAGATTCATGTAAATAAGGTGTCAATGGATCGGTTTTGGATTGGATCCCGTCCGATTTAAAATCAATTTAGATGGATTGAACATACCAAAAAGATACAGTGGATTGGACCAATCATGTTCAAATATTTATTAGATTGAACCGGATATGGTTCATCCGTAATAAATTTATATTGGATTTGATTGGATTAAGCCAATATATGGTCCATTGATGTAAGATAAGAATATAGGTGTCAATGAATTGAGTTTGGGTTGAAACCAGTCTAAACTAAAATGAATTTGAATAAATTGGATTGAATTGGACCTGGTCCATTTGTATGGATTCACATTGGACTGGATTAGGTTAGACTAAATCCAATCCAATCAACACCCCTACATGTAAAAGTCCACTCTAGTGGACTTGTGGGGAAATTCTTTTACCCACAAGAAATATTGGATAATATTCTTTTATTCCACACCCAAAGTTTAAAGGTGTTTTAGGTTCTCATACATGTGTGTGTGTACATACATACATGCATACATACATACATACTAAAGTAGAGCTTTCCATGTCAGCAATCCTCTTCTTGCTCTGTTACCTAAACCGAACAATTCTAAAGGGGGTGCAAGATTCCCTCTAGAAGAACTAAGAGTTGCCACCTAACATGGCTTATCCCCTTTTTCCTATCATTTTTTATTAGGAAACTAACTATATCCCACTTTCTCCTAAATTATCTCTAATTCCTCTTTATTCTTTCCCTCGCTTTTCATTTATATCCATCTAAAGAAAATTTCAATTAAAACATTTAATAATTATTTAAATATTATAATGAAATTATGTTAATAACTTTAAAACATTTATTAAAAACACAAAAAATAATTATAATAGGTTTAATAATATTCATATTATTAATAATGTTATATTTTTATCAAATACATAACAAAATTATATAACAAAAATATAAAATATAACTAAATAATATTTTAAAAACATAAATGACAAAATATTAGAATAGCTCACTAATTATGTAACAAAATATTTAGAATTGCATAATAACTTTAAAGAAATAAAATTTAAATAACAAAAGAGATTAAACATTTTACATATTATTTAAATATTTAAATAGTTAAAACAATGAAAGTATGTAATAAATTTAAAAAAAAATAGAATAATAATTTTAATAGATTTCATAACTTTTGAATTAATTATAGTATAAATTATAATTTCATGGATTATTAAATTTAATAAATAATTAGTATTTTAAAATTTTAAATAATGTATTATTTAAATAATTAAGTAATATTATAAACAACTAATTTTTAAATACTTTCAATATCAAAATATTAATAACTAAATCATATCTTATATATTATTTCAAAAACAAAAAAATAGATTAAATAACAAAATTATGTTATAACTTTAAAAAAATTATCAAAAGCACAAAAGTAATTATTACTAGTGGGGCCCTATATGATGCACAGGATGTGGCACCCCTCCCTATCCCTCGCCCCCGTAGTTAATACACTTTACCCCATCCCCTGCCCTGTCCCCGATGGCAGGACGGGTTGGAGGCAAGGCACCCATTCCCCGTCAGAGATGGGGAATCCCCAAGGCAACCACCTAAAAATAATCTAATTTGTGGATATTTCACAAATAGGATTATGGGAATTTGGGGTATTTTAGGAATTGGATTATGACAATTTGGGGGTATTTTATAAATGGAATTGTGGGATCCTATGATTATAAAAATATGAGGTAAAACTTAGAGATATTTTAAAAGTCAATATTAAATCTACTGATATTTTACTAATTTACCATCGTGTTTTGGGAATTATATGCAAACCCCGTCCCTTCCCTRTCCCTGATTTGGAACAAAAATATTTTCCCCATCCCCACCCTGTCTCTTCCCCATCCCTATTTAAGATTCAAGAAAACTTGCCCTATTTGATGTGGGGCAGGGTATTATTTATGTCTTATATACTATTTTTTTAATAATTATTTATGTTTTATATATTGTTTTTGAATAAATTTTAAATGTTTTCAATATAAAAAATTGAATACTAAATCATATTTTAAACATTATTTAAAAAACAAAAAATAGATTAAGTGACAAAATTATATAGTAACTTTAGTAAGAATATAAAATATAAATAATTGAAAAAATAAACATTATTGAAATAGTGGAAGTATATTAAATAACTTAGAGGTATTAAAGCATTTTGCTACTTATTTATTGTATTTTTGTTATAAATATATTTTTAGTAATTATATATTTTTACTATAAATTTTCAATAATTATTGGAGATTAAACTATTGTTATTTGTTGGAGATTAGACTATTAATTTAGTCGAAATTAGGAGTGTTCACTAGGCAATTCAATTCGGTTGGAAATCGTTTGGCTAGCCAAATTGATCAATTCAGGTTAGGGAGTTGGTCACTCGAAATTGACCAACCATTGGCGAAAACTAACCAATGGTTAATTAATAAATGTTCAAATTTTTAATGTTTAGTGTAATTTACATTAATCATTGTAATTTAATAAATTTTCATTAAATTTTTACAACAATTATTTATTCACAAAAGATATTACTAATTTCTATAAAATCAATAATTATAGTTAACAATTATCAAATAATTCAAGGAAACTCTTTAACTAATAATCCATAATTTTTTAAATAAATAATAATTAAAAATTAGGAAATTAATCTATGAAAAGTATATTCTTCAAAACTATTTAAATAATAGTCCATTATTATTATTATTCAACTAAATAATTATTAAAAAATTAGGAAATTAGTATATCAGAGATTGTTTCATATTTATTTAAATAACAAACCATTATCATTATTTTAATAAATAATTATTAAATAATTTAGGAAAATTATTAAATCTATCCACAACGGTCTAGACCAATTGTTTGACTTCAACCATACTTGGTTTTACATTAATTAATTACAAATGATTTATTTTTAATTAGATTATTATAATTTACCATAATTACATCACTTTGATTAATAGTAAATAATTTAGGCTTAAAAAATAAATAATTTACATTAATTCACATTAATTTATTGTTATTGTAAATAACTAATTTACTATACATTTTTTCTAATCAACAACAATTTCAATAATTTTTGGAAATTATCATAAAATATTGTAATTTATTGTTATTTAATTTACTGTTAGTTAATTAGTTATAAAAAAAATATTAGAATTGTAGGGATATCAATTTTCCCTATAAAACTAGGGCCCTACCCAAACCCACCCCGAATGGGGCAAGTTTTCTCAAATTTTAAATTGGGATGGGAAAGAGACAAGGTGGGTACGGGGAAAATATTTTTGCTCCAAATCAGGGACATGGAAGGGTTGGGGTTTGCATATAATTCCCCAACCCCAATGATAAATTAGTAAAACATCAGTAGATTTAATATTAATTTTTAAAATATCTCTAAGTTTTCCTCATATTCTTATAATTCTAGGATCTCACAATTCTATTTATAAAATACCCCCAAATTCTCATAATCCAATTTGTAAAATATTCACAAATTAGATTATTTTTAGGTGGTTGCCTTGGGGTGGGGAAAAATTGAGGATTCCCCATCCCCAATAGGGAATGGGTGCCTCGCCTCAAACCCGCCTCACCACCGAGGACGGGGCGGGGATGGGGTAGAGTGTCTTAAGTATGGGATATATATATATATAAAGCAAGGTGGTCCACGTCACCATACCTCTCCTTACTCCAAACCCCACATGCTGCTCTCTCCTTAATTCTCTCTTCCTCCCCCTTTGGCCCTTCCTATCACTCCCAAACTAACAAGTCATCAATATTTAAAATTTCCTTACTAGAAACATTCCTAAAATCTATGTCTTT